AAGAGTAATATCGATTAAGTCAACAGTTATAAAAAAATTTGTTATTTATTGTAACATTTTTAATAAAAACTTATTAAAATCACTAAAAATTATTTATTAAAATTAAAGTAAGTGATGTGTAAAAAAATATGTGAGAAAAAACATGTAAGAAAAAAATATTCCAAAAAATTCAGCAATAATTCTGAATCTGAATTGATATAACTAAATCATTGATTTATTAAATTACTATTATAATCCCATCATTCCATTCAAGAAACTAAATAAATAAAAATAGCATTAGATAATACCTACCTCCATTCATACACTCCCATTCACATATCCTCATTTACTCATTTACTTGCTTACTTTGTCTTAATCCAGTGTTTTTACAAAAGAAGTTTTTCAGCATTTTAAAGAAAAAAAGAAAAATATTCCTTTAACGAAATTAATATCAACTCTCTTCTATATACTTAAGTCGATTAATCCAGTTATCTAATCTTCAAAACTATAAAAGAGAAGTTTGCATCATAAAAAAATCTAGCCTACAAAAAGAATAACAAAACGGCTTTTATTACACAATATATGCGTAATATGTGCTCAATATATGATGCGTTATTAATGTGCACAAAATGTGCAAAAAAAATTTTTTATGTACAAAATGTGTACATTTGTGATGTCATTTGTGCACAAAAAATTTCAATATACTCATATACACATTATACATGTGAATTTTATACATTGCTTCTTATAATAATTCTTAAATTAATATAAAAATTTTTTCATTAATAAACATTATAAATATCAGAAAAATTAACACTACATGCAGTCTAACAACTGCATTCCTTATAATAGATAGTGTAAAAATCAAAAGACATAAAATTATGTAATTATTTTAATAATAATACTTTTTTATCATATAAATTTATCATAAAAATTAATTGGCCCTACATGCAATCTAACAACTACCTCTCTTGTAATACAAGATAATGTAAAAGCCAAAAGTCATAAAATCATGTAATTATATTAATAAATAATACTTTTTCATATAAATTTATCAGAAAAATTAATTGGCCTTACATGTAGTCTAACAACTGCCTCCCTTGTAATAAGATAGTGTAAAAGCCAAAAGACATAAAATCATATAATTATTTTAATAAATAATACTTTTTCATCATATAAATTTATTAAAAAAATTAATTGGCCCTACATGCAGTTAAACAACTGCCTTCCTTATGATACAAGATAGTGTAAAAACCAAAAGACATAAAATCACGTAATTATTTTAATAAATAATACCTTTGACACTACATGCAATCTAATGATTGCCTCCCTTGTAATACAAGATAATGTAAAATCCAAAAGACATAAAATCATGTAATTATTTTAATAAATAATACTTTTTCATTATTTAAATTTATCAGAAGAATTAATTAGTACTACATGCAGTCTAACGACTCCCTTGTAATACAAGATAGTGTAGTAAGCCAATAAATAATTATTTTCATATAAACCTGAATTAATTTGAAATTAATATAATCAGTTAAAAGTCTTGTTAAAAATTCATTAATAAAATTTTTACTCATCATTTACATACCAGCAAGCTTTAATCCTGTAATGACAAATGAATCTTTATCTCCTTCTCTGTTAAGGTCGATTTCTAACCTTAATTCTTTTAGTGACCATTTGTGCGATTGTGCTACTTCTTGATGTGTGGCTGTGACAAATGCTTCAGGCATGAAAAGACCTCCTATCATAACTTAATCTCCATAATGAGACTCGCTAGTAATGCTTTCAAGTTGTTGTAAATGACTCTTAAATTCTGCTACCCGATGATTAAGTGAAAAGTTTTTGAAACTTTATATTTCCTTCAGTGGTCAGGTATAATACCTAATAAATTAAAATATCCAAATAAAGAATGGGTCTTTAATTTGTCAAAAATGAAAATAATACAGATAATATAGGAAAATGAAATATACAAACCTTTCGTTAAGCAATTCAATAATATACGCAAATGATTAATTTGTTTAAGTTCACCATCGCAAACTTCCTTGAGTCTTGACATATTTTCTTGAGAAGAATGCAACCTATTTGATTTTCACGATCGAAAAATCTGAATAATGGATTTTTGATACTGTCTGCAGTACGATTCATGGAAATTAATTTCTAAAAATGATAAAACAATTTTAGTACTGATTTTATAACAGGAAATCATAATTCTATGAAAAAGAATGCTTACTTCTGGTAATAACTTCATCCAATTTTCAATACTACTGTAAAGAACACGCATCCAGGCAGATACTAGAACTTGTTTCTTGTGTATATGCGACTTTATCATCATCAGACAAACTTTTCATATTACGAAGTTTAGAAAGCATTGCATAACCTAGAGTGAAGAGCAAATTGTAAAAAATCTTGATTGGATTGTTGTATCGCTCATAATTTTGAGAAAACTTTAATACATACCTTTGCTTGTGAACAATACTTTTTCAGCGTTACTTGACAATCCTAACCAAACAGGTGGCTGTCTTTCAGGAAGTTTATTAACCCAGTTCATAAAATGATCTATTTTACTACCTTCTGGTGTAACCAAGTTGTCAGAGCCTTCAACATCGACAAGTGTATATTCAAGTTCATAGGCAGCTGACGTGAATAAGCTGTTAACAAAACATTCTAATAGACGCTTATCAAATTCATTATCAATACGACCACTATGACCAGAAATAGTAATCAATGAACGCATAGCTTCCTAAGGGATTTTATCAGGAGAAATATTAGTTCTGCCCTGTGCGACATAGTCCAACCAAGTGTCAATTGTGTTTATTGCAAAATCTTGATCTGATTCATTAAATTCATAGATCTTGGTCTAACCAAGAAGACAATAATGAAGACGTTCCTGAACAATAGCATGTAACCACGCAAGCATGAAATATATTATGATTCATTTTGAGTCAGCAGAAATTAACCTATCTGGTCTGAAACATTTAATAAGCAAAATCTTTCGTAATTGTAAGACAGAAGCTAATACAATAAAAAAAAAATGAAAGAAAGAAAATTAAGAATTAAGAATATGATGAGAAACTATAATAAAAAATATAACTTTTTTTATTCTTACCAGGTGATCTACTATTCCAACATACAGGAACACAAGTTTTCAGCAAGATCAGTCGACAAAAATTCCTTCCAATCTGATAAGTAAGTTACGATATGTTTAGTAAGTTTAGAAAAGCCTGAAAGAGTAGTGAACTCTTTGATTTTATCAGAAACGAAAAGGTCAAATCTTCCAAGTTGTACACCAAGGACCTTAACCGATTCTGTTTTTCCCGTACCTATTAAATGATGAATGTAATTTTATAATTTTGATATTATAAATAGGGTTTCATGATATGAAACGTCCATTACTTACCAGCAATTAAGATTTCAAATTTTGACATGGGTTAAGTAAGTTCCGACAAAAATAAAAATTAGAGAAATAAATTAAGAAAATCGAAAAAAAATTCATAATAAAGACAAGAAGACGACAAAAATTTTCACATGTTTACCTGGACTGAAGGGTAAACCTCCAAGTTGAGGAGAAAGCGGTAAGAGGAATAACAAGAGGATGTTCGAGGGATGTATTAAAGTAGAATCTCATTTGATATAACCATTCGAATCTTTTGGTGAGGATATCTTATTCTTAAGAAGTTGACGGATAAGGTCACGTTGATGTACAAGTTCAGTAATTAAATGTTCACATTTTTTACGTTGAGTTAGGGTAATTCTGTAAGTATGGTATCCGCCAAAACATCTAATGCACGAAGTACGAAATCAAGAGCGTGGTTTGATCAGTACGATCACCCGTTTCCATCGTGAAGAAAGCTTTATCAACAGACTTCGCTACTAATGTGATGGATATTTTTCAATCCAATCTAACAAGGTGCTAATAACCAATTCCTCATTAAGATAAAATGAAATAAGGTCTACCACAGCTTTTGTTAACCATTCAGCAAGAGAACTCTCATTTCTTTTTAAATTAAAGTCTAATGCTTTGTATTATTCCAATATTAAATATATAACGGGAATGAAAATATTTACCAATGACTATTTACTTTATGGTCTCATCAATCTTAAAATTTTTCTTTGACTTATCCTGAATAAGCCATTCTGAATAGAAGATTAATTTTTCCAGAAACCCTTTTCCAGGAAAATTTCTTTCTATTATCAACAAGAACGTGTATGCTCATTATTTACTTTTCTTTCATCAATGGTCACGTTAATTTCAAATTTACTATCTAACTGTGCTTTGAAACGATTTGAATCAGTTGACTGGCTTGGCTTTTAAAGGGTGTTATCAATAATATTTTATGATCTCTCTTCTTTTGTTCTTTTGCTCTGCTTTTCATCAAAGTTTCCACCTCCAAGTGGTGCGTTAACGCATCTTGAATTTCTTCGAAAAAAAAAAATATCCCACGTATTCCACATTCTGTATTAAGCCTCCTCCAGTAATCGACATCGTCATTCAAAACTTTTTTAAAAAGCATAGTATAGAGCAAAAAATTACATTATAGGAAAGGGAGGATCTTAAATAAAAAAAGGCGACTAACACATTTGATACAAAAAACTAAAAACGCGAAAAAATTAAGTTTATTGGTATAATTAATGATTAACCAATAAAATTTATTGCTACACGTTTAAAAATACGATACTCCTCAGGGGTACTATATCAGGGGTACAATAGGCAGCATGATTATAAATAGATGCCCTTTTTCATACTATGTAAAAATCTAAAATGAAGAGCAATAAGGAAAATTTAAAAAAACATTTTTTGCCTTATTCACAGAAATCCTCTCAAAGCTGTTTTCTGATTGATATTAACGCTGATAATACTATTATGACTATAAAGAAAATTTTGAAGAAAAGATACATATTTCCGATCAACATGCATGCCAAAAATCAATGATCATTTTTTATGAAATTTTGTTTTAAAGGAAAATATGATGCTTGTCTGTGTGAATATTTTGAAATCCTAATTTGAGAAGGATCTGTAATGCAAGTCAAATATCTTGATCCTGGTTGCAAGTTACAAATAAATTAATAAAGAAAAAAATATCAGAAATTGCTAGTTTTGAAATATTACAAAGATACATTGATCTATTAGAAAAACAAAAATTAGAGATAATGACTTCTTATTTTCATAAAGTGTGTTAAGTATCTGTGAAAAAAACATTCATCTATTGAGAAATTATATGTTAATACAAAATGTATATTAGCCTTTTAACGAACTTTGATACATTATTTGGCCCAAAGGGAAATTATCAAATTATACGCGAATTTTATGATGATCAATTACAAAAAAAGCAACTGTAAACTCGCACAATAGATAAAAAGTAGTCGCACAAGATAATTTTTAAAAAAAATATGTATAACTGGATGTTTTCTTGTTTTTTCTTTATAACCCTTTTTTTTAACATGTCCAAACTTAACAAGGACATACTTTTCTTGTTATTTGAGGAATTACAAGATGACTCAAAGTCCCTCTTTTCATGTCTATTTGTTAATCGACTTTGGTGTGAAACCATGGTTCCAATTTTATGGAAAAATCCCTGGTGTTTTAAAATTAAAATAAATGATAAAATCAAAAGTTCTTTATATTACGTTATTACCTTCTCTTTATCCAATGATATCAAATTATTTTTAACCAGTATGGGAATCTATTTACCCCCAATTTCACACAAATCGCTTTTGTTTGATTATCTATGCTTCTGTAAAAGTATTAATGTAAAGGTCATAAACAAAATAATTTCTATTTGTGCTTCCTTAACTTATAAATGATTTCATTTACAACAAGAAATTTACAGCATCTTTATGAAAAAATGTCTAGAATTAAAGTATTTGGATATGAGATCACTTAGGCACTAAATATTTTATTTTATAGAGGCGAAGATGTGTCTTGGTTCACTTTGTGAAATCACATGTGATATGTCCATTAATCCAACGTACTATTATGGATTAGCAAGTATTTGTCAATCAATACAAAGGATCATCATTTTCAATCAAGATCAAAAAACCAATGATGGAATTGTCAAGTTGATAGAGATACAGAAGAATTTAAAGTATTTTGAATGGAATGATGATATAAGTGATCTTGATGAAATTTTATTCAAGAAGGAAGTATATGAAGAAATTTTTAAAACATTAGAGAAAAAGGCAAATACCCTAAATTCTTTGGTGACGAGCTTTCAAAATTATGAAGATTATGAAACAATCATACCGATAAACTTTTCAAGATTTCATAACTTAAAAGCGTTAATGATTAAATTTACTTACGACGAATTTGAATATCAATTGAAAAGTGCGCGTTATCAAAATCTTGAAACTATTCATGTAGATTGTATTCAAAGCAGCACTATCACTTGCGTGATTCAAAACAACGGAGGGCACCTCAGGAAAATTTTAGTCAATGACTATGACGTTCTTTCTGATACCTTTTTTCAAGATTCTCTTACCCTTATCAGTACAGTTTATGAAAATTGTCCTTTGATCGAATATCTGTCACTCTCATTTTCAAAATCAAAGTTTCATTTCGATGAATTTGAAAATTTACTGAAAGCATGTCAAAAGTTGAAGGGGTTATTAATAGTTATCAATGAAACCATGAGCGAAGAACTCAAATCTTTTTCGGAGGAAAATTTTGAATCAGGAGAAAAATTATCAAGGGCCTTAATAAAATATGCATCAGATAATTTAGTAGAAATTAGAATTGGGGAAAATTTTCCATATTTTGGGTTTAAATTTTCATCGGAAACTTTAGATGCTTTTTTCGATAATTGGAGAGGTTGAAAAGCATTGTCAATGTTTATATGTGATCCCGTTTATAAAACAGTAGAATATGTAGACATTATAAGGAAGTACATAGAGGAAGGAGTGATTAAAAAATTTATGTGCGGTAGATTAAAGGATGTTATCTTTGATTATGATTTGTAAATTTGAAAGGTTAAATTTTTTTTTAAATATTTTTGGATGCATAATCTTTTCATTAATATACTTGTGAATTAAGTGTTGTTAAGCCTATTATAATATATATATATATATATATATATATTTTTAAAACTTAAAAAGATTACTAGATTCATGGCTCGGATTTGGATTCGAATAAATTGTATATAATGATGCAATTATAAAAATATTTACAATTTGTACTTGGTAGAAAATTTTTTCACTTAATTAGCAATTTTAGAAGCATATTTATATGACAGCTTGATTAGGTTAAAGCAGACAAGTAATATGCATCAGTTGTAGTTGCTATGAAAATGTTCGATTTGTGTTTGATAATTTGAAGAGAGGATATAGTTTCTTTTATCGGATGGATTGTAATACATCAATAATAGGTAACACTAAGCATTGCTAAGTAAAACTACTATTTCCTGCACGATCCCCGGAGAGAATCAAGGCTCCATCAAGCAAAGCCCGGAGAAAGATTCCCCAAGCGGCATTTTCATCTCGATCCATTACAGTTCTACAATTTCGGCAATTATACACCTCGGACCCTCCAATTTTTTGAAATTTTCCACACCAGCTGCAAGTTTTAGAGGTATAAGCTTCATTTTGAATAATTATGTAAACTCCCAATTCTTCTGCTTTGGCTACTAGACGTTGGCGAAATTGTTAATGTGCCCAACCGAACTGTTTTTCGTGTAATTTTACCTTGTTTTTCTATTTGTCATATTTGATACTTCAAAAGGTGGAATGATGATAGCATCAAATTCACGAGTGAAAAATGAAACTGCTTTTCTATGTATTTCATTTTGCAAATGAAAATTTTTCGCCTCATAAATGCCACTGCTTTATTAAGTCTTTTAGCCTTATTTTTTTTTTTCGTTTGGAAGTTGACCTATTAAACTTGCTTTTTTGTGATGTTAATTTGTCCATGTAGGTGCAAAGACGAATAATACGCTCAATGTCATGTTCACCAAATCTTACCTACACCTTTTGTTGGAGAGTACCATGTGAATGATGTTCTAACCCCAGGATCAATAGAGACTGCATGAATACCATCCGCTTGGGTTTCGCGAAGATGTTTTTGTATCTCATAGACCCATGCAAATTTCCACTCATTTGTTTGGCGTAAAATAAGTAAGCTTGCTATCGCAAGGAACCTTATGGGGAATAGGCCATTTATTATTTTTACACTTCTTTTCAAAATGAAAAGGCCATAATGCACGCTTGTTACTGTTTATTGTGATAGGCTTGTGACGATGTGCAGGATAGATTGATGGAGTGTGCAGGTAGGTGATGTAAAAACGGTCCCATATTGAAGATGAAAAATTTTGGGAACGGATGGTAATAGTTTGTCGTAAATCTTTACAAGTTCGAGATGATAAAGAATTAATAGATTTATTTTGTGCACGTTGAGTATTACGCTTAATAACCTCATTTCTAGCAGTTAATGCTTCATTCAATTGCTTCATCAATTATATTTGCAGGAGCAACATTTAATGTTCCACGTAATAGCATTCCTAAACGAACTACAGCTCTCAAGAATTTTCTCTCACCCCAAATGGCTGAACTAATAAGTTTCTTATCCTTTACTTTGTCAACATTTATTCCAGCTCGGATGTCACTAAATAAAGGAAGTTTTTGCATAGGATTATATGATTTTCATTGATAAGAAAGATGTCAACGGTGTTTTTTGACCTTGAAATGACCTCAAATGACATCAAATGACATCATTTCATTTTTTTAAAAAAAAAATAATTGACCTTATAATTTGCCACCCTAGGGATCGGTCCTGGTAAGCGTGCCTTAAAGGACCGTAATATATTATTATGACATGTAAGCTATAGAATAGCGATTAAGGTTGCGGGCATTATGTGTATCGCCGAAATTATAATGCGTCGAAACTATAATATAATAAATCTATAAAAACGTAAGGTGAACAGTTAAAACTTTTTTTTTGGACTAATATGCAGGTTCTGTCTTTTTGATAACTTTTCATTTAGATTAACCACTTATTTATAAATTCTTTTCAGATTGTCCTAGTTACAAATTTGATTGATACATAAATACGCTTATTCTTCAAGCATTATATTTTAATCGTTTCTAAATAACTGAAAAAGTCGCTTTTGATAATAACCTTTAAAGAATCGGATACAAGTTTTCAAAGCAAGTTGAATTAAATCATTCATTATTAAAGTACTTTTGATTTTATTTGCATTAAAAAAATATTACAAGGAAAAAAAAAAATAGTAAAAAAATATATTAATTATGTTAAACTATATAAAAATTTTCAACTTTTTTCATTTAAACTTTTCTTTTTCGCAGCTTTAGTACCTTCAGCTATATTTTCAACTATGTTTACAATGACTTTTTTACATAAATTCAAAAATGCAGATTCAATTTCATTAGGATCTTGTCGCTCGATATTAATTACGATATTTTGTTGTACATTATTGACAAAATTAACATATCGATCTTGAGGTTTAGAATTATTAAATGTTTTTGAATATATCTCTTCAAATTCTTGAACATTATCTACTTTCCATAATGGATGAGATGGATCTACCTGATGTTGATTTAATAAAAATTTCTTGAACTCTTCAAAGTTCACTAATTCCGACTTGGATGACGACAGTTCTTCATAAGGAAGTGCTTTTTCATAAGATTGATTAATTTGTTTAATTTGACTATATTGTACATCATTGATGAAGTTGATATATTGAACTCGTATATTAAAATCTTTAAATGTTTTTGAATACATTTCCTCAAAATCATTAACATTATCTACATTCCATAGTGGATTAGACGAATCCACCTCATGTTGAGTTAATAGAAATTTCCTAAACTCATAAAAGTTCACTAATGTTGACTTGGATGATGACAGATCTTCATAAGGAGGTGGTTGATAAGAATATGTGTTATTTATTTCAACTTCTTTGTGCGTTATTATTTTTGGTTGTTCTATAATCGGAAATTCAAAATTATCTAGGTATAACCCTTCAAATTCCTCTACAAAAGTGTTTTCATTGGTTTTGGGAGTTTTCGTTGAAATGTTTAAATCGTGTACATCTTCACTCACAAAAGCATTGTCCGTTATATGTTCATCTTCCAGATATTTTTGATGATTTAAGATCTCTTCGAGTTCGACACTATCCATATGTTGCATATAAAAACATTCAACATCTTCATCGATTGTGATGTGATGATTCTCTTCATCACATTGTGAATAATTGTTGATTTGTTTTATTACTTTATCAGGTTCATTTTCTTCGTTAATGACATCAGAGGAGGTAAAAGTAATTTCATTATCCAAATCATTTTGATGCTTAAGAATTTCTTCAACATCTTCAAAGGTTATATCTTTATCTTCGACAACCTTTTTCACTTCCATTGCATTTGAATTCTCTTTCACTTTCTCTTGAAATGAAATTTTATCATTATGTTCGTTTTCTTCGTTTGTAATATTAGAAGAGGTAACATTATCCAAATCATTTTGATGCGTAAATTCAACTTCAATGGTTAAATCGCCATCGTCCACTTTATCTAAAGCGCCGACCTCCCCCGCGCTCTCGGATGAAATGTTATCGTCCTGTAGTTGATGGGTATCCACATACTTATTATTTTTATTCTCGGCTTTCCTGTTTATGTAATATGTATTATGAATTATAATGTTTTTAAGAATTTTGGTTGGTTTATTTTTACGTAAAGAACTTTGATCAGAATTACTTCTTCCAACTCTTGAAGTCTCTTGCAAGTTGTTCAAACTTGTTTTTTTCTCTTCATCTCTTTTTCCCAAGAATCTTTTAAATTTAAGTAAAAACGGTTCTTTATCAGATTTATCCTCTGACAATTTATTATCTTGCTTTTCTTTAATCTCTCTAATTTCTTGAACACTTTTAACGACCTTAGTCTTCTCTTTCATCAATTTTTCCACATTATCCACAATACGATTACGTAAACTAGATACTTGTTTTTGACGAATCTTTTGGAAATTCGTCGTTATTCTGTTTGGAATTTCACTTAGGTTTGAATTAACAATAATAGTATTGCGAGCCCTGCGAATTAGATTTTTTCGTTTACTTCGTTCTTGTGATGAATTTGAAAAATTTGCCGAAGTTGGAGAGTCGGGAGGCGTGGCTTGTTGAAGAGACTTGAAAGTCACTTTAATCTATTTTTTAAAATAAAACATTATACACAAGTTACATAAATGAGGAATGAAATCTCTTTGAAAGAGAGGAAAAAAAAGACCCAAAAAAGAATTTACCATATTTTGGACCAGTTTCTTTTTGCTGATTTTGTTTATGAAATATAAAACTTCTACGGCTTTACACGTCAATTGTTTTTTAACGTGCGAGTCATATATTTCGTTACAAAATCCAATAATTTCTGGAGTATGTATACTCATTTGAGGGAATTCCGTGAGCATCCGTTGAATTAAATCCAAATACCCGATCAAAAGGGTATCGATATGATCGGGTAATGAGCACCCTGCAATACTCCTAAAAAAATAAAATAACGTTCAAATTAATTAAAAATTGAAATTCTCATTTTATTTCATTATTTTATTATATATATATATTTATTTAATAATATTCGGCTTACCCTCCAGATTTAAGCATCTTATATTCCAAATTCCTAATTACTGTATTTTTCCTTCGTACAGTTTCAAATTCCTCGGTTGATAATTTATATAAATGATTATAAAATTGAGTAACCGTTTTCGATTTTGCCGAATCATCAATTTCCGAAAGTTGTTGGCGTAATTTGAAAAATTTTACTCGTATTTCTTGCCAATCATAATACCACTCTCCAGCGGGGTATTCAAACTACAAAAGTTAAGTGGCGTAGCGCAAAACGATTTAAAAGATTTTGATTGGTTATCGACCGAATATGAAAAATGCAAAAAAAAAAATTTTTCTTTTACTGGGTACTCACGTCTAAAGCTTTGATAAAAGAACCCGCAGCGGCCCAATATTCTTTTGTTATAACGTTAGAGATGACATCAAAAATGTTTACAGTAACACCAAGTGCAAGGTTACGATCATCCTTAATCTTTCGCAAGCAAGTTCGAATTTCACGAAGGGCGAACGTGATATTCGCATTTATAATTTTTGAAGTGCGATAAGTAGCCCAGAACTTTGAGACGGATTTATAAAGTGTTTCACGGACCTTTGCATCAATCATTGGACCGGACTCGTTAGCAATCAATTGTGAGAAGATGTGTAATACGGAAGACATGGCGCGGCTGTGAATATCAAAATGCGAAAATAAGGAACAATCGAAAACAAGTTTTTAAAGTCGATGTGTATTATGATGTAATAACCTACAGGTGAAGTTCGAGTCGCGCAGTTGAATTTCCGTAATGAACCCATTGACGCTTGGAAAGGTGAATGGCGGCTTTAGAAACGAAATTTATCACTGAAAAGGAAGATTTCATTTTTAATTGTTCAAAAACATTTCAAGTGATAATTAAATAAAATACGACATCATACCAACTTCGTTCGTAATTCGACGACCGACCAAATCTTCCGTCAAACGAATTGTCTCCTTCAAAACACATCCATAATCTCTGGAAAAACAGACCAAACGAACAAAAACGTCAGAATTTGGAGTGTGCATGCGCACCAGAAAATTTTCAAAAAAATCATCACAAAACCATGCGTAAGCTTACATAACATTTTCATCCGCTAAAAAGTTAAGAATATCTTGATATTCTTGAACATGGTTATCTGATAATTGGACGGAATCGGTTGTATTAATTGAATTGACCTCGAATTCATTATCGATTAAGCAATTCATGGAGGAATTTCTTTTTTTTTTTTTTTGAAAATCCTTTTGCTGCTTTTAAAAGAAAAATGGTACGCAAATTAAACCGGGGTAATGTCGCACAAGACAATGTTTTTAAGTTCTTCTATATCTTACAAAAAAAACTAGAAATCTCCGAAAGAAAACATCACTGGGATTGGGCTAGAAAAAAAAATTCCCATCATACTTCCAAATCAGGCTACCAATTCCAACATATTCGTTTGAATCACCGAGAGAGATCCATTGTGAACAAATTTCAAGTTTTTTAAAATTAGAAATTTTCAATGAAATTAAAAGATGTGATGTTAATCATGTATAAATCGAAAACCTCCATTCATACAAATAATTCACACAAATTGTCAATCTTTATCCATAAGTGAGCTTTTAAACGAAATCGATACGTAAATATTGACGGAGTTAAGATGCAAGCATCAAGGCTGAAATTTAATTGTATCTTTTATCTGATTGGTTGGTTGTAATAAGGTGAAACCATCTATTTTCTTGAAACAAAACGTTTCTCTGACTTTCTAAACAAAGAAGAAGGTTCGAGTTAGAGTAATGATTCATTTTAATATTTATAACATAAAGTTATTCGTAAGATTTTCCAATTGGTGTGTACCCTAGACCCTTGTAATATAAATAATTTTTTTTAAATTAACGTCACGTGATAATTACGATAATAATTATATAAATTGATATATCATATCATATCTAATATATATTTATAAATGATTTGTTCTTATTTAAATAAATATTTTAGGAATTTATTTAATTTATTTACAAGATTATCATCAGTCACACTCGTTTTTGCGTAACAAATAATAGTATTTTTGAAAATCATTTAATTTTTATTGAAAAAGGTAAAGCGAAAGGTTTTAGTTTAATATTAGATAATATGAAATAAGAATTCATTTGTAAAGTCAATTAATCAAGTGTTGCGTCCGTTATTTATATCCTAATTAATTAAAACTAAGAATAAATAAATAATAAAATAAATTTTTATTGAAATTTTTTTTTTTTTTTTTTTAAGTTGGTTCTAGCCCGAATATCCCGACTGCGGTTCGTATGTCCGATATGTCATTGTACCCGGAAACAAGCCCCTCCTGGCTACTTTATTGGAGAAAACATGATCGTAAATAATAAAAGGAATGTGAAACGAATATGTTAAGTATAAAAAAATAAAATGATTTTCCAAGAGTATGTGGGACAATTTTCCTCGCGGTAGACATTTTTTGCCTCATGGACATTTTGCTACAAGGCCTAACTAAGATAAATAATCTATTATAAAAATTTCAAATATTGCAAAGCCCATATAATTAATTAATTGACTCTATTTTTTTTTTTTTACTTTATTTATCAAAAATGCCTAAATTATTTCATATATTTAAAAACATCTTTATTATAAATATAGTAAAAATATATTTAATTATTTATATTATCTGTTAAATATTTATAACTAGTTTTTAGATTAATAAGAAAAATATTACTAATAAATTTTACTATTTTTTAAAGAGATTTGAATCTTATTATTAATAAATAATTTTTTTTTTAAATAAAATTGATCAAATAAATGTATTTTGATTATTTATTATATCTATTAATTTTGTATAATAATTTTTGTTTTTTTTAGTATTAAATAACTTTATGTTAAAAATTAATGTTAACAATTGATTACATATTATTATAAATAGTTTTATTAATTTAAATAAAAAATATCTATATATCACAATTTTTTCTGTGTAAGGCTGGGGAAAAGAAGACTCTAAACCTAGTGTGGAGTCTTCTCCTCTTCAGCCTTATACACTATAGTTTATTCTTATATAGAAGAATTAATAATATCAAAAAACTAAAAGCAATAAAAATTTCAATTTTGTTAAAAAATTTCCAGAATCTAATTTTTTAACAATCAACTCATAT